GACCGACAGGCATACAGACAGACAGACAGACAGACAGACAGACAGACAGACAGGCAGACAGACCGACAGGCATACAGACAGACAGACAGACAGACAGACAGACAGACAGACAGACAGACAGACAGACAGACAGACAGACAGACAGACAGACAGACAGACAGACAGTGACAGACAAGGGCAAGCAGGCGCACGGGCAGCCATGCAGTATAGACAGAGGTATTTAAACATCTGAAGATTAATAAAAAGAGATGTTATAATCACCTTAGAAAGGTCAGATATAGTTTAAGAATCAGCAGTCTGTATAATACTACAGAATAGGCAGGGCAATGCGAACAAGCTTATTAGCGAGTGAAAGCTAATTAGGCTGCCTGGAAAGAGCCGCAAAAAACACCTATACTAAAGTAGGTCATTACAGAAGAAGAATTTAAATTGGATATATTTAAATTTTAAATGTCATGAGCGTCAAGCGAGAAAGATAACATGAATAGATTCATGCATGCTACGTTATAGGTGTGCATATATAATGCAAGTATTGTTGAAGACTTGTCAAACGCAAATAACACCAGCTTACAAAAACCTGCCGCCAAATTACACCAAAGTATGTACGCGTGTGCGCGTGCGCGTGCTTGTACGTGTGCCCGTGCGTGTGCTCGTGTGTATGCGTGTGTTTGCGCATGTGCGCGAGTGTGCGTGTGCGAATGCGTGTGCGTGTGCGCGCACGCGCGTGTGTGTGCGTGCGTGTACGTGTACGCGTGCGTGCTGTCCAAACGCTAAAAGATGAGTTGGGTGGTGGTTATGGCGTTACTGAATGCGGAATTACCTTGTATTCGGACGTTAAAAATACGACGCCCGTAACAACGTTCGCGTGTACCTTCGTATCAATTACCTTGATATAGGCTAAGCACGAGCACTATTAAAAGTTTAAAACCAACCCCTCGCACGTTCGGTAGCGCAGGTAGCTTTAACACAAAACCAAACGATAATATGAGCTAGGAAGTTCCAATAATGTGTAAGCGCGTTTTGCGCTGGTAAACACGCAGAGCTCGTATAATTGCTATCAACCGGAAGAGTACGTTCTGTCTACGTGTATGCGTGCGTACATTCCTGTGTGCGTGCGTGCGTGCGTGCATGTGTGCATGCATGCGAGCGTGTTTGTGCGAGTGCGCGTTCATCGTTGTCTGCGCTATACTAAACATGCCCGCGCAGGCAACGGAACAGGGAGAGCATATCCTGCGAGGTAGCGTGCAGTACGTAAGCGCGTGGTTTCTTCTCTATGCCGATTCCGATCCATCACCGATGATAGGTAATTCGTTTTACGCCAACATTTAGACGGTCGCTTTACGCTGCTGATGTCAAACGATGTCCAGTGTTGATGGACACCGGCGTCACTGCCATCGCTCGCTGCAGACGACAGTCACGTCGATGACAGCGCCACCTACACGTACGTGTGGCGGTTGTGCCATTGGCAGCTAGGATGCTTGGAACCACGTACGACTACAGCAGGTGTACTGACCACATACACACAGGAGGTATGAGTAATGAATAGAAGGGGTGCACACACACACATGCACACGCGCGCGCACACACACACACACACACACACACACACACCCCAGCGCGCGCGCACACACACAACACACACACACACACACACACACACACACACACACACACACACACACACACGCGCGCGCATGCGCACAAGGAGCAATAGCATATCGAATCATGATGTTGCTGCTTATAATAATAATAATAATAATAATAATAATAATAATAATAATAATAATAATAATAATAATAATAATAATAATAATAATAATAATAATGATGATAATGATGATGATGATGATGATGATGGTGATGATGATGGTGGTGGTGACAGTAACAATATAAAAATATATGACGAGAATATTCATAAAAGTGTGTGAGCGGGCAGACGTGGATGCGTGAGATATATTACGATAATGTGCTACTGCATGGGTATTGCAGATATCAGCGGAGATTTTACACGGTGAAGGTTTATACAGCCTTCACGTAGAGGTGTAAAGGAGTCCACGAGTTGTCTTTGACGCACCAATCTGCTACGGAACGACCTTCTTCAATGTCACGGGTAGGTGACGGATATTTTGTCCTCGCCTAGTTAAACTTCTCCTTCCGATGCTTAATTATGTTAATTGTTCGATGACTGGCAAGTCCTTCCTCTTTCCCCGCTTTGTTTAGTAATGGGAATATTTTGGTGTGAGTACCATGGTGTACATGTTTTGACCGTTTATCCGTCTGTAGGTGTGTTGTGCGTTTGGGTGCGCGTATGTGTATGCGCGCACGTACGTGTGTTGCGTGCGTGCGAGCGTGCATGCGTGAGCTCAACATGTTCGCGTCTGTGAGCGCGCGCCCCGTCCGACCGCCCATTTCTTCCTCCCCGTCACGCTTTCCTATCTGCGTATGTCCTTCATTTTCACTTTCGCTCTCCATATACGCATACGCGTCCACAACACACACACACACCACACACACACACACACCACACACACACACACACACACACACACACACACACACACACACCACACACACACACACACACAACACACACACACACACACACACACACACACCCCCCCCCCCACACACACACACACACACACACACACACACACACACACACACACACACACACATCGACACACACACAATAGTATATATATATATGCGCACGCAAAAGCCTAATTGTGGGGGCGGGTACGATTAAAATAGAGAAGTAGCAGCTTAATCCGTCCATCTACCTATCATTGTTTCGCCGTAAAATACTAGTCTGGCCTTGTGCCAGCATAAACATTTGCCGACGGCTGCACAATGCGTGGGCGCGCGAGCGTGCGTAGCGGAATGTCGCGAGACGACAGCCATACTAGACTAGACCTGACCATAATGAGACTCCCGGCGCGCAGAGAAGTAAGCACTAAAACAAGCATCGCGATCCATGGGCACTTTTTGTTCCAACTCAAGGTCATGGCCTATTGTGGATGCAAGAGCTTCTAATAATGCATGCGTGCTGCAATGTCGTCTGCAATTATCACAGTTTGACGCATTAATTTAGCCGATCCGTTTTATGTGTGACTCGAACAAGCTGCAAGCTTTTCTGGAGTTCAAAGCACGACGGAGAACGTGCGGCATCTTACACTTCCCTAAGACCCGTCCTCATTTCCAAAAACATAATTATTCTGCGGAGCATATGACAGCTTAAACCTAATATATTTATGGTATATATAATAATAGCTGTAGGTATATATAATGATAGCTGTAGGTATATATATATGTCACTCTATCCATCATCGCCGCAGATATTGTAGTCTCCTATTATCGGTATAATTATCGGTATTAGTATTACTACTTTACTAGTTTCTAACCATACAGGAAGGAATTACGTAGCGCTGTGTTAAATTAACATAAAAGAATTTATCTCGTATATTCTCAGCAACAAACTTGCGAACAACCGTCTTTGCTCACGCACATCTTTTTTTCTCCAATTAGTGTTACATTTGTATAGTTATCGCGCGTACATACATCTGACAATTAAGAACTCTACCCACACGTCTAGTCTCTATACATTTAGTCCGTGTGTGACACCCTGATGGGGACATATCTGGACCATATCGACGGAACGTGGATTCACTGCATTATACGACATGTGGGTTCTACGCGCTTATCACTCGATGCTATTGCAATAAAAAGTTAGCGATGAGATATAGAATATAGTCTTCTAACTATAGTTAAACTACCTTCATGAAATATAGTCTTCTGACTATAGCTAAACTACCTTCATGATTTCAATCACAGTCTGATTTGATGTTCTTAGCACCAAATGATTACGGTTAATATTTAGTCAGGGAACTGTTACGATCGGAGCTGCGATGGGCTTCATGCCATGTGAGAGTATTCTTCTATAAGTACTGATGGGGAGGTGTGGCGAGCAATATATATATATATATATATATATATATATATATATATATATATATATATATAAAACTGTGTGCAAACAGAGATGCCCTACTCCAGGTGTGCCTCGATTTTTAAGTTGCATAAAAATGTACACTTCTACTTAAATGTCGCCGCATGACACTGCAAAAAAACAAATGAAGTCTTTGAGCAAGTATCAGATTGGAAGAATCTGGATTGCCGCCAAAGCTCATGCAGCTGCTTTTAAAATTTTGCACGCGGGCGAACAAAGACGTGAGTTCAATCGATCGGAGAAAAAAATCGCACGACAACATTTTTCGAGTTGATACGATAAGTGGTAAATTTGCCGTAAATCATTTCGTGATCACGCGCGGCCCGGAATCAAATCGTTTTGATGATTGATGACCGCGTGGCCCGTTATCGGTGATACGTGTTCGCCTTAGAATCGTGGATGTCAAGACGCATTAGCACATCGACTTCATACAAAAAAGCCGAATGCTGTTGCGTAACACGTATACGCACGCCATGGACACGAACTCGGCTACGTCGTAGAGGAGTTCGGAAAGGAGTATATTATCATCAAGTCTCGTGAATGGTGTGATTGACGGATTCGTGACAAACACATGAGAGCGAAGGACTGAATTATCACCGTCGTCTGTATACGGGCGCAGACGCATTTAGCAAAGACGCAAAATCATCTAATACACAAAATTATATTTGAAATAATTGTTTATTTTTGCTTTTTTTGGAATAGTAGGTGTGCATTAATAGTAGCGAATTTATTCTCTAAAACCTTACCGACGCGTTGTGACGAATTAGAATGACCTCCTGCAGCAATAATGGGGGTATTTGTTATCTGGAATGAAAAAGATAGGGCCCGTTATTTCTGATGTTATAATATTATGCCTTATACGTTTTCGTGATCAGGATTAGCGACAATATTGCGAAATAAGGATATCGTCTATTATAATTAGTTATTATACTTTATTGTTATACAATAATTAATTAAACAGCTTATTGTACTATATTATTATAAATAAATTATATATACTACACGTAATAATATCTATAAATCATTTACGTCTTTCTTCGTGTCGTTGCTACAGAGACGATAAACGGACGGGTGTTGGTGAAGCAGGACTCGGTGAGGCAGCACGAACACTACGTTGCGGCCTACAAGTGGGTGGACTTCATCGCTAGGCTTCACGACCCGGCTGGCTTCCTGCGACATGCAGATCTGAAGTACACGTGGCACCTGGGCGACGAGCAGGTATGAAGCGGTGACAGAGATTGTTGTCACGATGCTGCTACTGCTGCTCTTTAGGATGATGATGATGATGATGATGATGATGATGATGATAATGATAATGATGATGATGATGATGATGATGATGATAATGATAATGATGATGATAATGATAATGATGATAATGATGACAATGTTATTGATAATGCTGCTGCTACTGCTGATGATGATGCTGACGATGACGATGACGATAATGATGCTGACGATGACGATGACGATGACTATGACGATGATGTTAATGATGCTGATGATGAACGTGGTGATTACGATATTGATATATGTGAAGAATGATGACATAGATGTGCTGCTACCGCGTCAGGTCACAATGACTATGATGATAACGACGGTGATCGTGATGGTATAATAGATGAACGTTGAACAATTATAGCGATGCCTACTTGGGTAAGATGTCACTAAGTATGCAATATGCGATGACGTAACAATTCGTATGCGGACTTACTTTACATCAATCAAACTATTTGGGCCTTTTAACTCTCGGCGTATTCTCTCTTAATTCGCAAGCGTCCGTCTGTATCCTGCTTGTAAGTGCATGTGCATGTAGGCTTGTTTTCACGCGCGCGCGTGGTAACGTACGTTATATCTGTGGCGGGGTTGATTGTCGCAGGTGGCCGTGTCCGCGCAGCCGACGCTGCGTGTCAACCTGACGCGACTCGGCGTCGTCGCCGTGAGAGTCGCCGTCAGCGCGCAGGTCCCCGCACGCGCCTCCGCCGACGACCACGTGATTCGCCGCAGTCAGGTACCGCCCCCTTACGGCGACTCCGCCTTGCAGCGATATCGGGTCGTTGACGACGTGGCGGCGGCCGCGGGTGCATCGCAGGCGGAACACTCGCCGGCAGTCGTCGCTGCGAGCGAATACGTGACGACGTCGTCCGGCGATGCTCGGCAACTGCCGGTGGTTGCTAGTGCGGCACGAAACAACTCTGTGGCGGGAAATGCGCTGGAGGAACCTCAAGATGATGACAGCCGCGATGACGTAGCTGTATCGTCCGCGACGGTGGAGTCGAATGTACACAGCGGCGGTCCACGCAAGATGTCCGAGCGAGCCACCGATGACAAGGATCAAACATCGGACGTTATTGATGGGTTTATGGACGCAGCAGCAAAGACATATATCGGAGCAGCTGCAGGGAAGAAAGGCAGTGGCACGCAGCTCATCCAGAACGAGGGAGAATTTTTTATCGACACGCAAAAGACCTCTTTATCTCCAGATGGTGACGAAAACAGCCACTTCGCGGACGACAGTACATTGCAAAGTACAGTCGAACCCGAGCCGCCGATAGAGGGCGGGCTCACCGAGGCACCGCCAAGGCAAGCAAAATTACTAGGAGTCGAGAAAACTAAGCGCCACCTAGCGGTTGGGACGCAAGGAGGAGCGCCAGAAGCAGATAGGAAGCGGCAGGTATTCCGTCACGGGGGCGTTTTCCCGAGGTACGGAGAGCTGACGAGGGATATCGTTGTCAAAAGTAAGTTGAAGAAATTACGAGTCAACGTATTTTACGTCATTAGATATATTAACGTCATTACATAGATTAACATTACAGGACAATTTGGTCTACCGCATCGCAACGCTACTATATATATTATAGAATACATTATATAAATAATTACAAAAATGATATACTGCCCGATATTATATACATTACACGCTATTTATTTATATCGATCAATATATTTTTTATGAGATTATCGGTTTGTATCTCGATGTTATAGTTTTGCGAATACGTTTACGTAAGCACGAATATTGTATAACATCTGTTGTTAAGTGCTGTATGGACAATGTCATTAGACCTACTACAGTGTATGCGACCGTGATGTTTTAAGAGCAAGTCTATGTAAACGCTGGGCCCAACTAAAGTTTGACTGTAAGAGGCCCTTCTGGTCGTAAATATCTATATATAGCCGTGCAAGTTAAAATCATAATTTTACGAAATTCCGGTTGAGATATACGACAAGTTATTTCCGTTACCCGAACTAGAACTGTATACTGTCTATAACAATGTATGTTTGTATTTTGCGCGAGCTTCCAAGCGGCCGCATTGCTCACTATCCTCTGAAGCCTACTCTGGCAACGTAAATAAAAGTATCTATTACATCTAGTGTCTCATGGTCATACAAAAATAATCGACAGCAGGAAGAAAAGATATGCGTACTGGATTCATAATATCAGGAGTAGATAATAGGGATAGGGATATAATTCCCTATTATCTACTCCTGATAATATCTATACCCGCTAAACCATACGGTTTCAACCTCTGGGTTGGACCCAAATTCTAGTTTGGAACGACGATTTTGACGATCACCGCGTAACGTGAGGCACATATAGGCATATAATTTACACCACTATATAGGGCAGTGTGCGCAGCTCAGTTTTCCTTTTGCGCGCATACCTACGGCAGTGCCTCATGTCGCCATGTTGTTTTTCAGGTCCGGTGCACGACTTCCGCGTGCTTATGTCGGAGCGAGCTCACATCAATAAGTTGCTCCCCATACACGTGTCCTGTAGCGGCAGGTAAGCAGCTCATCAATGCTGCTACGTGTGCAGAAACGCACTGATACGAGCAGTGGTGATTCTAGTAACGCGAGCAGCGGGCGAGCATCGGCAAGCACAGGACTACCTGTACGCAATAAGCTCCACCGAGGTTCATTATTTCTCAACGTTCTGTCTGTTGTGTGCGAAACCCTTCCATTAAAAGATTGCCGTCTCGAATTTTTGAATTCTTGAAGAGTTGAGAATTCTTGAGATTCTTTCTCAACCACGATGTCGCGTAGTTTAAACAACATATATTCGTCCTCTTTCAACCACATAAACACACTCATTAAACAACGTAAACCCACTCTTTCAACCACATAGACATGCCATTTAAAACAAATAGACATACTCTTCCAACTGCATGGACATAATCTTTCAATCATATAGACGTACAATTTCATCCACATAGACATACTCTTTCAACTACATAGACATGCTCTTTCAACCACACCGTCGTCCCTTTTCGCGAAGATTTCAGTGGTTGATAAGGGGTGGTTGAGAAAGAATTCGAAATTCTTGTAAGTAATTCAAAGTTTACTGGCATCAGTGAATAGTCTATACGTAACCTTTACGCAGCACAATATAGCACAAATAGAATAGTTAACACGTTTCTGCTTCCTCGTACAGTCCCCCGGTAAAGCTCTGCTGGTACCTGGTCCGCAAAGACAAGGAAGCGGCTAGTGACAAAGTCATAGCGGAGTCGGAGGGATCACCCTACGTGGAATGCTACCTAAACACGGAGCGTTGCAACTTCTCTCTGACAACTACGCTGAACGAAACAGGCTCACACCGACTGGTACTCCGGCTGCAGAACGAGGTCGATCTGAGAGAAGACGCCGTGTTCTTCGACGCATTCAAAGGTATACGTAAGTTCTTTTAAAATGGAGACGACGAGACCTTTCTCCAGGAAAATAATAAGGACAAGGTGCCCGTTGTCACAAACATAGTAAATAGCTGTGATTATTATAAGTTTGAAATGCCATAACATTTGGAGTGAAGTGTTGTACAAAAGTTATAACATATTAGATTTATGATAATAATAACTATTTAGGATGTCTTCGACAACTGGCCCAATGTTTAAATTATAATAATTTAGTGATAATTCTTAATATTTTAGTTTTTTAAATAGAAGATTTTGAACCCTAGTGTCCTAAATCACTGATATAATTTCAGTGATGTATTTCATTTGCTAGAATGTTACAGAGGAATCATAGAGGGTTTACGCATTAACAAGTAATAAGAATTTCTCGGTTACATAAACGTATTTCCACAATTGCGACACTGTGTTGGGCAAATCCCGCTTGACGCTATGCAACGTGAATCCCTATAATAAGGCTATACCCAAATGTTTACATTAATAATTGTCGTCGTTACAGACGAACGAATCAACGCCGTCGCCATGCTACTGCTCGGGTTTTTCATCTGCACTATCGGCGTCGGCGTCGCCGGGATCACCTACCACCACGTCACCCAGCAGCGACGTCCCATCATCGAGGTGGCCGACTTTCAGTTCCACGAGCACTACGTCGACAGCATGTCGTCGCTCGAGAGCTTCCCGTTCATCAGAGGTCTCAACTCGCCCACCCAGATGGCGAACAGCGCCCTCTCGCGGTTCAGCTCATTGATGTCGGTGAGGAGTATAAGCAGCGAGGGGAAAGGCGCTGAGGACTGGCAGCAGCAAAGCTACGGATCTGTGGATAGCGTGTAGAAAGCAAGAAAGCTAGGGAGAGAGACGGGGACGAGAGCGAGAGATGAAGAGAGAAAGAGAGAGAGAGAGAGAGAGAGAGAGAGAGCGAGGGAGAGAGAGAGAGAAAGAGAGAGAGAGAGAGCGAGGGAGAGAGAGAGAGAGAGAGAGAGAGAGAGAGAGAGAGAGAGAGAGAGAAAGAGAGGGAGGAATGAGGCGAGGTAAGTAGAAGCGAGGTTTCCGGTGGTGCTCCGAACCGGTCAATTTTAAGATACGTACTTTCTTCATAGATTCGTGAATGCATGCTGGCATGTATATCGAATGCGTTTCTCACATTGAGCATGATAATTTATATCGTCTGTCATTACCAGCTACTATCTTCGTGCATAATTATACTTATACTTATACTTATACTTATACTTATACTTATACTTGTACTTGTACTTATACTTATACTTATACTTATACTTATACTTATTATTACTGTTACTGACCATGATAGGGGATGTTGCTTGATACGTGGTCCTGAATAGAATGTTAGGGGTTTATATACGCCTTCCAGTAATTTTCAGTATAGTTTGTTTAGTAATCCGAGCGATTTTGCAACTTGGTGAATGTAATATGGCCGTTTTAATCTCGATCGACGGAGAAATGTTAGAGGGTTTACTCTGTAAGAGCGAAAAGCTGCAGT